AGGGGAGGCAGGCCTGGGCTCGGCCTGGGTAGCCGGGAGGAGGCAGGGCAAAGAGCCAGGAGGGGTGGGAACCCCCAGGGGTGGCGGGCCAGGGGGAGGCTGGGTGCCGCCCCAAGGGCCGGGGGAAAGCTCAGGGGCCGAAGCCTGGGACCACTGCGTCTCACATCACGTTTGTTTGCATGGGACAGGAACTCCTTGGTCTACCGTCCCCCTCAGTGGAACAGGATGCGAAATCTCCTCGGGAAATGTCGGCCACGAATGCAAAATTTGAAAAAAGTTACCGGGGGCCACATCATATTCTCCCCACACCACCCAGCAACCGCGCCCCTCCCCGGGGGGCGCCCACCCAGGAGAAGCGAACACGGATGACCACACGGGATCCAAGCACGGGTCTTTGTCACACGGACCTCTCTCCGTGACAGCCAAAAACTGACAATGAGCAAAACACCCCTCCGTAGGTGGCTGATGAAACCCACTCCGCAAAAGACAGGTGTGCTGGGTTGGGTGGGTGGGTCTCAGGTGTGTGTCGTGCGAGCGAAACAAGCCAATCTCAGATGTCACGTGCAGCAAAATTCCATCCACGTGACACCCTCAAAACAACAAAATCACTGCAATGGGGAGCAGATGTGTGGTGGCCCAGGGTGGGAGGGGGTGGGGGAGGGGTCGGGTGGTTGTGAGGGGCGGCAGGGCGGAGGTCTCTGTCTGGGGCACTGGAATTACAGTCCTGCGTCGTGGCTGTGGTGCAGTTACAGGAATTCACCCTGGGGTGCCAGGGGAGAGCCCCTCCCACATGCTGTTGCAGTGGCATGGGGACTGTACTGTAGTTAGGTAAGACGTGGCCCCCCCGGGGGAAACGAGGTGAAGGGTACAAGGAGGTTCTCTGGGTAGCAGCCCCTCTTATCCGTGGGCAGTCGGACCTGAGACCCCCAGTGGATGCCTGAAACCGCGGATAGTACCGACCCCTGTATATACTGTGTTTTTTTCTGTATGTGCATAGCTACAATAAAGGTTAATTTATGAAGTAGGCACAGCCAGAGACGAACAGTAACTAATAATAAAACAGAACAATTACAGCAACACACTGGAACAAAGGTTATCTGAATGTTCCATCTTACTGTCCTGTCCTCTCCTTTTCTTGCCGAGATGACAACATGCCCATGTGACCAGAGGTGCCTGTGCATGCGGCAGCGAGACCGGCACGAAAGTCTTTCTCCTCCGTCACGATTTCAGAGAGGAGTCCGTCCTGACCGTGGGTCTCAGCGACCTCAGCGGAGGATGATTTTTGAGTCCAGAAGCTGCGGCTGGCACCTAAAGCAGCACTAATGGCTGCTCCGCGGCGCGTTCGCCCTGCACGGCCGCTGTGCTGTGCGCTCCGCGGCCGTTAGTAAGTGCGGCGACGGCGACCTGTACACAGGGCCCCCGCCCCCACCCCGGCAGCTGTCACGTGACTAACGCGCAGGCGCGTCTGCAGGGTGCGGAGGCCGGACGTAGGGGCGAGTCCCCTCCGGACAGACATCGCGAGATTTCGTCCCAGCCACTGAAACAGCCCGCGGAGGAAACCTTATGAATTGTTTGTTTCGGGAATTTTCTGTTTAACATTTTTAGATGGCCGTTGACCGTCTAAAACCATAGGAAGCGAAACATGTACTACATTTGCAACTTTGCGTGACTATAATTATTTCAAAGTAATAAGTTAGAAGAAAATGACCGTGGGCCAAACCAACATGGAGTGGGAGGGAAGTGAGGTCCCGGAGCCAATAGTTCGTGACCTCTGGTTGTGGGGTCCGGGGACGTTCCGTACTCCTTTGGTCCCCCTTCCCTGGTTCGGCGGCCAGGGGCGAGGTCAGAGGGAAGGTGCCGGAGGCATCCTAGGCATCTAACCAGCAGCTGGGGAGTCCGTGCTCGGCTGTCTGCGTGCCCTGACCATCCTCTAATGCTGGGTAACAAAGTGCCACCAGCTCAGTGGCTTAGAACAACACCCATTTGTTATTTCACGGTTCCCGTGGGTCAGGGGCACGCATCTGGGTGGGGCGCCTCTGCTCAGGGTCTCCCCAGGCTGAAATCCATGTGTCAGCGGGGGCTGGGGTCCTCTCTCACGGTGGCCTCTTCTGGGCCCCAGCTGTGGCTGGGTGCCTGGCGTCTTCCTAGCTGTTAAGTAGGGACCCTTCCCACGGGGACCCGTCATCTCACAGGATGGCGTCTCACAGGTCTGGCTTCTTCTGGGACTCCAGGAGGGGGTCTTGGCGCTAACAGGGCCTCCTATGGCACGATGCAGTCACCCCGTGACAATTCCATCCCAGTCACAGCTGCTGCCCCCACTCACGGGAGGGATTAGATGGGGTGTGTGCCCCTGGGGGTCATCTTAGAACTCTGCCTGCCACCTTCAGCCAGGTATGTGCCACCTGTCCTCCACGGTCTTTGGGACGCCACCTTGTGAAGTCCCCCGTCCCCTCTGTCTTTGCCTTGCGTCCTACCCCCCGCCCCACAGGGTGGCCACAGGGCGGTGTGATCCCCTCCCCCAGAGTGACTTCTTCCTAAGCCGCAGACCTCGGCGCAGGTGACGGCTGTCACTCCTGCGTTTTGCTCACACAACGTAGACTCAGCTCCGTGACCGGACTTGCTCCAGAATCTTCACCTCCTTGCTGGCTCTGGAGGCGCAGAACCGCGGTGACTCCCACGGCACGGCCGCGAGGGAAAGGATTCCGCCCACCGCTGGGGCGAAACCTCCTGGGTGAACGCAGCGGGGCCGGCAGCTGCGGGGACCCAGGTGGAACCACACGGCGTGGAGACAGGAGAGTTCGAGTGGGCCGCAGAGGGGAGGAGCCGTGCTGAGCGTGTCCAGGGCTGAACCCGACCTCTCCCGCATTTTTGCGGAAAACTTGGCACGAAGGTGACTGGGTTGAGGACGTGTGGTTTTCTGGGCAGAACTGTGATCTGCAGACCTCTGCTGGGCCAAGTCCTGGGGACGCTCTTTGGTGGGAGTCGCTAAACCAAACGCACGGCAGGTTTCCTTCCGATGCACATGCCCGGCCGGCTGTGCTCTGCAGAACTGGGGTGCTCGGTTCTTCCCGAGGTTGTCCCCCGTCTCTGAACGCTGGTGGCCTGCCCAGAACCACACGGTTGGGATCTATGAGGCTACACTCCTTTCTTCCTGTGTGACAAATAGTGGGTGTTTGTGAGGACTACAGCCGAACGCCTGCCCTGGCTGCTCACATAGTTTGTGAGTTTAGCATAAGCGAGGGGCCCCGAAGCGTCTCCTGTACCGGGGGCTAGAAAACAGTTTCCCTTCCGGGGCACACGGTTTCCGTGCCATCATCCGGCCCCGCCCCTGAGCACAAAAGCAGCCACAGACAGATGGGAGTGGCCGGTGGCCGCGAGCCAGCCGATGTTTACGAACGCTCCAACCTGAATGCCATGCCACGATGGTTCGTTGTGTGATTTTCCCCAACCATTTAACAATAATAAAACCATCATTGGCCCCTGGGCCCTACGGAAGCTGCCAGCGGGCTGGATTGGGGCTGGGGCGCACAGCGCGGTGACCACTGGCTTTGTGGACGGTCACCTCCATTCTCGTCGGGAATCTGCCCCAAGTTGATCTCACAGGTTCAAACCCCCGCAAAGTATTTCTCACTCCTTTGAGTTTCTTCAGTCTTTGGTGAACATACCTCGCAGAGAGTCCCGTTTGCTCAAAAACAGCCCAGGAGTAATCCCAGCCCCTTCCGCCCTGCACGTTGACAAAGGTGTGACCCAAGATAAGAGTGAGGTTGACCAGCGGGGAGAGGCGGGCAGCGGTCCCCTAATGCCCGCTCGGCCAATGGGAATTAACCCCTGTAGTTGGGAAGGAAGGCGGCGGAGGGTCGGGTGGGCACGTGTTAACGTGGACCGAAGCGGAAACAAGGGAACTCCCACGGCCCCCGCCCCCGCCCCCCCACAGCTGACCTCTCTCTCCAGGCCCGCCCAGCGCGGCTGGGGGACTCTCAGGCTGGCCTGCACGCCGGTCAGGAAGCTCACTGAAGAGCCGTAAGCGGACGTAGTTTCCCTCGGCCGTGTTAACATGCCCAAACCTCCACATTTTTAATCAGCGTTAAAACGAACAGGCATATCAACCGGTCGAGGAAGCCCTGAGTAGCTCAGCTGTCTCCAAATTACACTGGAAATAGGAATTAATTCTCCATTTTCCTTAGTCCAATCGGACATATGTAACCGCTGGTTGGTGGGAGAAAGTCCATACATAATGAGGTGAAATGAGCGAGACTTTTCTGCTGGTAAGGAAATCAAGTGATTCTAGAATCCTCCTTCCCCCCACTCCTGTATATATATCCACAGCCCTCCTAATGTAATCATTTTATCATTTTTAAACCTATAATTAAAGTCCTTTATAAGGTAATAAACCATAAAGATAATGAGTGCCGTCTTTTGCATAAAAAGCTAATATAAAGATAGCAAGTATGGCCCTGGCTGGCGTAGCTCAGTGGATTGAGCGCGGGCTGTGAACCAAAGCATCGTAGGTTCGATTCCCAGTCAGGGTACATGCCTGGGTTGCAGGCCACGGCCTCCAGCAACCGCACATTGATGTCTCTCTCTCTCTTTCTCCCTCCCTTCCCTCTCTAAAAATAAAATAAATAAAATATTTAAAAAAGAGTTAGTATGCTTTAAAAAAAAAGATAGCAAGTATGAAAATGACGTTAACATCTTATTCCAAATTTCCTACACCTGGTCCCACAGGGGCCCTGGCACCTTGACCGAGGCGATCACCCAGGCAGCCGTGTCTCTGGGATACACTTCTCGGCACCCGCAACTCTCGAGAAAGTGAGAAAGGCCACAAACACAACGTGAACCGCTACGGCGACCGGTTTCACATTTATTTTTTTTTTCAAGTTTAACAACGGAGGAAAAAAAAAATCTCCCATTTGAGATTTTTCTTCAGAATAGTTTTATTGGTTTGCATATCCTTTGTCAACACTCAACTTTTTCTGTCCTACTCCGATACACAAATCCATTCACTCGCATTCCTCCTCGCCCCATATCTCATATATCGTCACGTTATTTTGAGGGTCCGAAGGCACCTCGAAGACCGGGAGCTTGAGGCTGTTGCCGCTGGCCGAGGCGTCCTTCAGATGCCGCACCCTGGAGAGGAATTTCACGAGTTCCATTTCGAGCTGGTGCAAGGTGGTAAAGGCGAAGTCTTTGCTGGGGGAGGCGTTCTGGTTTTTCTTCAGCAGCGCGCGCGGCGAACAGCCTCGAAGGCCGGGAGGACTCTTTTCCTGTCGGGAGAGACACGCAGGGTGGGGAACGCCATCGGCTTGGGGGGTTTGCACCCAGTGCAGACACAGCCGGGCTCCCCGCACCCGAGAGGAGGCGGGTCTAGCGTGGCTCTCGCCCAGGGATTGGCCCGCTGGGGCCACATCTGGCCCACGGTCTGCTTTTGTCAGTAAAGTTTTATTGGAACCCGGCCCACAGCCCTGCTCGTGCACTTGCATGCCGTCTAGGGCCGCTTTCAGGCTAAAAGGGCAGAGGTGAGTCATGGCAAAGCTGAAAATATCTCCTTCCCGGGCCAACCCTGCCCCAGCCAGTCTGGACAGGCCCTGGGATCTGTGTAGCCGAGACTGAGCGGCCGGGTTCCCGTTTCTCTCCCCTCCTAGAGTTAGCCCCCTGGGGGGGGGGCGGTGACCTTCTCGCCCCTTAGCCCCTCCCCACAGGTTTCTACCTTCACCTGGAATAATGGTATCATCTCCACCTGGTTCAGTGACCAGCAGTAAGTCAAACGCTAGGCAAGTTAAAAATCGGGCCGTGAATCTGGCTCTGGGAATAGTTTTGACCTGAAACACGCCAAGTTCTTCAGTCTGTCCTCCATCTGCACACACTCACCTACCTACGGGGCCAAAACACCAAGCCAAGGTCTCCTACACGCGACCAAGAGAAGGTGGCCTTCCCCTGTCAGTCCCAACCCCGGGGTGTCTGGGCACTGCTGTCCTCCCGAAGGCTGCGTCAGGACAGGAGCCTGCCAGAGTTCCCCAGGGCCACCGGGCAGGGACTTGGCGTCCCCATCCGTCCTATTTCACGGTGCTGCCCGGAACAAGTAGCACGTCCGTTCCTCCGAGTCTGACATTTCTGAGATGGAACCAATGTGGTCTAAAGAATGAACCCGTCCTGCCCTGGCTGGTGTGGGGTGAGGCTCTCAGCGGGTGGGGCGTTGCTCCGCAACCCAGAAAGTTGGCCGTTCGATTCCCGGTTGGTCAGGGCACATGCCTGGGTTGCAGGTTCAGCCAGTGGGGGGCGCTGGAGAGGCAACCGATGGTTGTTTCTCTCGCATGTGGATGTTTCTCCCTCTTCCTCCCTCCCATCCCCTCCAAAAAAAAAAAAAAGGAAAGAAAAAAGAAAGCAAGGAGCCACGCTCACCTTACTCCTCTCACTATACCCTCCTCGAAACTTGAGAACCGCGTACAGTACCAGCACGAACAGCAGCCAGAGCCACTTGCTGGCGAGCCAGCCTTGGGCGTGCTCGGGGAGACTCTGCCTGACCCGGAAGTGCCCCCCGCAGGGCGCCTGGCCCTGGGGCTCCTTGACGTTCCCCCTCACGGAAGAGAACATAAAGGCGCAGCCGCAGGACAGGCACAGAGGCAAGAACAAGAACCATGTCAGCGTCCGCATGGCGAGCAGAGGTGGGGGAAGAAGCTGCTCATGGTGGGTCTGGTTGCCCTCGCACCGGGAGACCGGGGGCCTAGGGCTGGGCCCTCCCTGCGTGATGTCACAGAGGCCCCGGGCAGGGGCCGCTCTGGCCGTCCCATTGTGACGGCGGCAGGGCGGAGGGTGACGGGCCCACAGGGGCCCGGGAGGGGGACTGGGAGGGAGGAGGGGACATTTGCAGCAGCAATAAAAAAAAAGAGACACTGGGGTGACCGGAGCGCTGCCTCCTTGCAAGGCGTTCTGACCCTGGGGCTGCGGGCTGATGCCTGTGCTGGTCTCCAGTTTGCTGGATCCAGGCACGTGGTGTTGAGCACGTGGCCTGGGCCCCGCCGTGGAGCAGAGCCCCTTGAGAGAGATATTAAACCAGGGGCTATACCCTGGGAGCTATGGGTGTGTATCGTTTGGCCTACATTGTTTCTAAAATTATTTACTTATATTTAAACGTTGGGGCATTTTCATTGAAAAACCTAGATTTCTGGCTCCTTCTGAAAATATGGAAGATCTGAAAACACTGGTCCCAATAGGAACTGCCCATCTAGGCGGTCATGTGCTTTCCACAGTCCCCACCATTCCCTATCGCCTCCCACTCGCCGATTTTACCTGCAAGCCCTGGGTTAATCGAGGGTGGACTTTATTAAAGCTGGGATTAGAGCGGCGGGTTTTAAGAGCAGGGGTGAGGTCATGCAGGGAGGCCTCCCTGAAGAAGGCGCTGTGGTCGAGTTGGAGGAATAACCAGGCGGGACTCGACTCCCAAGCACGTGTGAGGAGGACCCAGAGGGCAGCCCCACCTGGAGGCCGAAGCCAGGAGCGTGGCTGGGGCTCCCTGGCCAGGGCGTTTGAAACCACGAGCTTCCCCGAAGGACGTGAAACGAGAACTCCCAGTTCACGGAGCACAAGGCCTGTGCTTGCCCGCTGGGTCGCGTGACTCAGACCTGGTGCCCAGGATTAGGGTGATCCCCGAGCACGATGAACGGACCGCAGGGCCCTTCCCACTCCGTGCGGCCCCGGGCAGCCACAAGGCCCCGTGCGACTCTGTGGAGCGCCAGGGGAGGGCGGGGAGTGGGCCTGGGCCGCACAGCGCCCCCTGCTGGGGGACGGCAAGCTGTCTGGAGAGGGGAGGGGCCTTCTGGCCGGAGACACGGGGGCAATGAAGTCCGCCCGTGGGCCCTGGGGGGCCACGACCGCTGTTGGGGCAGCGCTGGCCTGGTGCCTGGCTGCGGGCCGAAGGGCGTGCCCGTGACCCTCCGGGGCTCGGCCCGGAAACCGCGACTCCGGCCCAGGCTCTCCTCCCGCGGCCCTCGTGGGGCAGCTGTTCCGCCGCGCTGAGCCGCACCTTTCCTCCGCGATAAAATAACAGAGTGAAGGGAAAAGGCTACAGCTAGTTAACAATTTAACTGGGCTGCAAACAAAAAAAAAAGACTTTACCAGAGAAAGAAAATGGCTAATCAGGCTTGTTCTGGAAAAGTCCACCACAAGAACACACTGATATTAATATAATTTTAATGAAAGTGCTTCCATGTCCATCTCCAACATCCTCAGGGCCAAACTGCCCACCACGTGAGGCGGAGCACACGGACGCAGAGCGGCCAGGGTCCTCTCGGGCCCCGACCCACAATCCTCCGGGGCCTCGGACATGGCCCGTGGGCGCCCCCACCCCCTCCTCTGACCCCCCACCGAGTGGGGACCGGCGCCCCGGGGCTGCCGCGGAGAACCAGCCGGCACCGCACTCGCACCACCGCCCCCAGGACGCGGCGGGGAGGCCCGGACTCCCGGCTCTGGCCCCGCAGCCCCGCGGGAAGTCCGAGTGACTACTGACGCCCGCACACGTCACGGGGAAACGCCTGGTTTTAGGCACAGTCCCCTCCGTGTCTTCTGCTGAGGGGAAACCGGAATGGATGGGACATCGCGGAGTTACTTCCGTCACTCGGTTTCCTTACAAAACGCGAGTGGCAGACAGACGCACAAGAATACGGAGAGAGGGGAGAAGAGGCCGGCTTGCTTCATTGTTGTATCGAGTCTCCAGGTGCCAACTAACCCGCTCTCTCCCGTCTTCGGCAGGATCAGCGGTGAGCCCCCCCCCCCCCCCGGCCAAGCACCTGGCCCCGAGTCCCGGCCTCTCAGACGCCCCCGCGAACAGACCTGCGGGCAGCAAACCGTCCGCACGTGAGTCGAAATGAGCCAAGCACACAGCCACGAGGCGTCGGGACCTTTAATGACTGCGAGCACAGACGCGCAGGCCGCGCGGCCGCTGGGGCGGGACGGAGCACTGAGCGGGGGAGCGGGTGGAGGGGCCCGGGCGGTGGCCCAGCGAGGTCACACCCCTCCGGGGCGAGAGTGACCGCGCCGGCAGCGGGGCTCGGGGGACACCCTGACGGCCCCGCGAAGAGACCCTGGCCCCGCTGGTGCCCGCGGCACCCGCCCCCACGAGCCCGAGCCCGAAGGGGCGGGCATGGGGGCGCGGCCGGCTTCAGAAGCAGTATGACGTGTGAGTGACCCAGTGCGCCGACTCCTCCTTGGGGCGCTTGGCGGAGCTGTGGGTCGTGAAGATGGACTTGTAAGCTTCGGACTCCTCGCTGTCGGCGATGGACCTCTTCGGGGCGGCGCTGGGCGGCTTCCCGGCCTTCCCAGAAGAGCCCCCGGTAGCTGTTGGGAGGTGAAAGCAAACACTCGTGGGTGAGACTCAGGAGCCCTCCACATACTAGATTCTCAAAGGGGGAAGCCAGTCTGCTCTCCCGGGAGTCTCCCTCCTCGCGTGGGAGGAAGGCCGAGAGGCACCGCCTCAGTCGGCGACAGTTAAGCTGCCACTTAGAACCACGCCGCCCACCTAACGGCAGGGATGAGCGCCCGGGCCCAGCTCCGTGGCCGGCGGGCGCCGGAGCCTCCTGGCCGCGGGTGTGGCCAGCCCGTTTTCCGAGGGGGCTGCTGCACGCAGAAGGGGACTGGAACCCGTAACCACTGTGGATGCTGCTCACAGCACGAGACCACACGCCCTTTCACCCGGCGTTCTCTCTGTGAAATAAGCGCTGCTCTTGGAGTTCAGGGCAGTGAGTTTCAGGACAGGTGCGCGGCGGGAGGCAGGTGCCGTGCACAGGGGGCCCGGCCTTGGGGGGCTCGACAACGCCCCTGCCCGTCTGGGCCCCGTGCGGCATCTGGGCGAGAGCCGTGCGGCTCGCTGGCCTGGCCGCAAGCATGTGCTCGACGGGGCGGCTCAACAGGCCCTGCTTCAGGGAGCAGTGACTGGGTGTGGGTCCCCAGGGAGCTCGGCGCATTGTGGAGGCAGGACTCAGGGCCCCAGTGCCCACGGGGCCCCGGCCTCCCAGCTCGCGCCCACAACCCCGGCAGCTCTCCCTGGGCCCCGGGGGACCCACCTGCGCTCCTGGGAGCCGGGGCGGCCTTCCTGTCCTGCGAGTCTGGGCCGGGCTCTTCAGGCTTCGCTCTGGACGGTCCTGCGGGCCCGTGGGAGGAGCAGGGTCAGCGCACATGGGACGGACCGCGCACACGGCCCTGCCGCCGGTCCCGCCACGGCGACCCCTTACCTTCGCCGACATCCGGTTTCGACGCGCACTCTGCCGCCTTGGGCTTCTTCGCTTTCTGTGGGAAGAGAGGGGGGCTGGCTGGAGGGGCCCTGCGCCTTCCCGGTCACGGACGCGCCCCCCCCCCCCGCCACATGCCACACAGGAACCCATCTGTGCGGACCCGTGTAAATCCCGTGTTCCGGAAATCACACCCTCGGAAACGGTCCACGGAGAGGACAGGCCCCGGCGGTCGCCGGCAATGCCGGTGGTGACCACGGCACACATGGGAGCAGCTGGAGGCACGTGACACGGGCTCACGCGGCTCAGACAGCCCCGCCGGGCCGCACAGGGCCCACCTCACCCCCGGGCCAGCGGGGCTCTTCCAAGCTGCCCGACTGCCTGCACGTTTGTCTGCTCAGACCCACGGGGGTCTGAGGCTCTGCTGGGGGCGCTTCGGCCGCCCTCCTCAGCTGCGGGCAGACTTCCAGGCGGTGGGGGTTGTGCTCTCAACAGTTACATCGGGCAGCAAAACTAACAAAAAGAAACCAACTGCTCCCAAACCACACAGCTGTGTCAGAACTGCTTCAACCACAGAGAGGATAAATAGACCCTGGTTCACTGGGAGAATTCCCTTTAAAAACGCCATTCTCCCACGCAGCCAAAAGAGGGCACCACAGCCGTACAGGCTGATTACTTCGGAAGGTCCCCAGCACCGGACAGGGCGGGAGGAAGGTCTTTCCCTGGCGGCAGCAGCCTTGCACTTCTGACGCGTACGCGCAGTGGGATCTGCAACGTTTGTATCAGACACAGAAACCTGCGCTCACGTCACACACACAAGCCACACGTCCACACCTGAGGGTGACGCCCAGGCCTGAAAACCCACAGACTCGGACGCGCTCGGAGCCCGGTCCCAGCGGAGGCGGTGCGGGGAGCACGCACAGCGCAGAGCCGCGGGGAGGACCGGCCCTGTCCCGTCCCCAGCTGCGCCACATGCGGGACACGTGGTGGTGCCCCGGTGGCAGCGTCCAAGTGCAGGCCCCAGGGCTCCGCGGAGGGCTGTGCGGAGGGGGCACATCACCCCCCCCCCAGGGCTCTGCACCCCTCCGCAGGAAGCCTGGGGCGGGCAGGGGACACCAGTGACAGGGCCAACCGGCTGGTTAATGCCACGCGGATGTCTCCAGAAGCTTCCGCTGAAACACCCCTTTCCCCCTTTAAACTGGAGCCTGACCGAAGAAGAACAAGCACATCCTTTCTGGTAACTGTCTTCTGTCAGAAACACGTCACGCTTGTTTCTCTCCCTTTTTCTCTCTGCCCGACGACAAGGACACCACAGCCACTCAGAAAACCAGCCCGGAGCGAACACGCACGCGCACAGACTTTCACACACGCCCCCACCGCCCCCGGCCGCGTTCCGTCCCGCGCCAGGGGCACGGTCTGGGTCACCCCTGACCACGCAGGGCAGCCGGCCCCGGCGCAGGGGAGCGGCCGGGGGAGCCCGGAGACGCGGGTGAGGCACCCGCGGGCTCGGTTACCTTCTCCAGCCTGGCCCGCAGCCGCCTCTCCTCCATCCGGGCCCTCAGCGTCGCCACGTCCTCCTTGGGGCCGTTGAGCACGATGACGTCGTCCTCCTGGAAGGCCGCCCCGCACTGGGGAGAGCAGAAGAGGGGGAGGCGGTCACCAGGGCGGCCGTGCCCCCCGACCCGCACGCTCGGCCCAGCCGCAGCCCCTCCGGCGCCCGGGACCCCCGCTGCTGTCCTGCCCGCCGGGGGGCTGAGCCGGCTTCGGGGCCGGTGCCTCAGGGGGGCTCCGTGTCCTGTCTCCAGGCCCATCCCTTGGGGCCGCTCCTTCTCTGGGTGGGCGGGCCACGGCCACGTTCTCACAACAGCAGAGAACGTGGCCGAAAGAGACACTGTTTCAAGCCAGGGTGGAAGGGAATGAAAATCAAAGCCAAAGAGTTCCCTAAAAGGTCACGTGACCTTACAATCCCTGCAATGTGGGAGAAGGCCCATCACACCATACAGTTTAAAGGAAAAAAAAGCTTATGATAATCTGAAAGGCAAAAGACAGCTCTTTTTGTCTTGAAGAAGTGCACCCCCACTCGTGTTGCCTCTTGTGTAAATTACATGTGTGTGCCATACATCCATCACGTTTGTTAAGGTTTTCGTGTAACCTTTCTCGTCTGATCGGGTGGCACGTGAGGCCCGGTGGCCCCCTTGGAGCTGTGCGCGTGCACAGCAGCAGGCAGGCGGGCGGGCGGGTGGCGCCCTGTTTCCTCCGCTTCCCCTTCTCCCGGGCGTCTGGCTCAGAGCACCCCCCTTCCCGGTTCGGGGCGTGGGCGAACAGGTGAGCTCAGCACCCAGCCAGCCTCAGCCCCAGGGCTGGGCCCGCAGCGCCCGCAGCTACATGCTTCGCAGGCCGGCAGGGCGGCCTCTCCGGCGAGAAAGGACCCGTCCTTCCCTGGACCTGCCGGACGGAACGAGCCCCTCCGCTCTCGGGATGCGCTCGTCTCCACACAAACCCCCGCCCCCCCGACCCCCCAGGGGCGCCCGCTGACAGGCTGCTCGAAGCTGTTCTTATGTAAAAGACGCACACGCCACCCCCACAGCAAAGCTGCAGCCCGCTGCAGCCCAGTACGCTTGGGGAGCCCAGACTCCTCCTGCCCCCGCCTGCCCCCCGACAAGTCTTCCCGTGGCAGCGGCAGCGTCTGCTCTGCAACCGGTGTCCCGGGTCAGCACACGCAGGCGAGGCCAATCCGCTCTCATGTGACTCCGCGTGAAGCCCGGCACCCAGACACAGGATGGCGAGTCCCTGGGTGTGGGTTCACGCCCCTCAGCCTCCCCGCTAGCAGACGGGGAGCCCCGAGAGGATGCCAGCAGGCGAGAGGACCTTCCGAGCCTGAAAGGGAAGGGTGCTGAGTACCAGTACCCAGCGGGGCCAGCCGGCACAGGCGAGCAGACCCCGCCCCTTCTAGAAGGCGTGCCGGCACAGGTGTGCCCCGGCCCAGCTGGCGTGTGTCCCTGAAGTCAGGCCCTCTGGACACACGCGGACACACTCAGATTGTGCCAAACGCTATTTAGGAAGCAAGCCAGATTTTAAATAACTTTTAATGATCCCTTTTGGGGAAAAGGGTCAAACCACCAAATCTGGCTTCCTATTCTCAGAAGCATCAGAAGCATCTGCAGCCACCGGCCCACGGCGCGGGCCCTCCCCGGCCTACGGAGTGCGAGAGCGACCCGGCGGCCCCTGCTGCCGCCCGGTTTGTCGGCGGAGCCGCGCAGCCCTGACGAAACCCTCTGGGAGGCCAGGGCGGCAGCTCCTCTCCACTCTACACCCGGGACGAAGCAGCACCAAGTCCTCAGGGACAGGAGGGAACAGACCCGCCAGGAGGCTCTGTTCACGCGCCTCGGGCGGCAGCCGCGGCAAGAGGAGCAGCCGAGGGCAGAGGCCAGCCCGGGCCTCGGGCAGGACCCCACGCACGGGACGTGAGGGGCGTCTTCGGGTAAGTGCTCGCTGCCCGGCAGAGAGCAGGCGCGGCGGAGCCCGCGCAGGGATTAGCAGTAAGATGAGGCCCGTTTTCCTCCGCCCCCTTTAGGGCCCTGAGCCAGAAGTACTGGGCTATCAGTAACGCTGCCAGACGCAGGTGCAGTGCAGCAGGCACCTTTCCTCTCAGAAACGGCCCGCACTGTTCGTTCCCGCCGAAGCCAGCAGGAGCGGAACGGTCTGAGTGCGAAACCCGTGAGAATCCCCAGCTTTAGACGCCGCTGTTTGTGTCCCCCCCGCACACGGGAGGCGGCGACTGAGTCGGCCTGAAGCCACGGGCAAACCCTCGGTCTGCACGTGACCCCTCGGTCTGCACTTGCGCCGGTAACCATGGTGCCGTTTCTGCCCCCGTGGTTCTGAGTGGACAGCCTCAAGTCCCCTGCATGTCCAAGCGGCCGGGAGAATGCGCGTGCGTTTCAGGGACAGGCAAGCTGCGGTTAAGACAGCTCTTTCCCCGGACGGGACCGTCTCTGAGGTCGAGCCCAGGCTCTCGTCACAGGCCCCAGCAGCTCACGGAAACAGCGTGTCAGCTTGCAGTGCGCTTTCCGACGACATTCTGAGCCCAGCGACGACAGACACAGAATTTTCATTGCTGTGGCTGCAGGGCCTTTTTTTTTTTCTTTAAAGGACAAACACACAGTTTATGGAGAGAGTGTAGCTGGCATTCCTGGCCTGGGGGCTGCACTGCTGTGGGGGCGCGCCACACACCCCAACCCCACACAGCACCGGGCAGCCTCGGTGGGAGGGTCACGCCCTCCGCTCCTGCCCCCACCCTGGTGTCCCTGGAAGGCAGCCCCATCCTGCACCCCCACCTGGAGACCAGGAAATGGAGACCCAACTGTTTAATCCAGTTCAGCTGAGAGGAATGGTCCAAACAGTAATACTCTAGAACACACGGCATAATATTTTAAGTCTGTCTTTAAAGATGCCCGTTATCTATTTACTGGGGGGGATTATTACCTTTTAAAAAAACGTGTAAAAGACTCAGCAAGAGGAGTTCATGTGGGACGTTGCTGACTCCCCACGGAAAGTCTTTACAGCAGAGGGGGCCCTATCACAACAAAACTCCACGCTGCCCTTGGGGGAGCGGCCCGTGGTGACACACGACACCCAGCCCAGACTGCTGCGTCGTGGCCCTTGGGGCTCGCTGGGGGGCAGGGGAGGCCACAGAAGACAAAGACAACAAGAAAAACACACTCTCGGGCTCTAGTTAATTAGGACAGTGAGGTGGTTTGAAACAACGCTTTGCAAGTATTTTATGCTTAGACAAAAACATAAAATGTAAAACGATTCCACTGTGGGAACTATAATCGGACACCAGTCCCGTCACTGCGGAAATTCTAGCACTATACAAAGGGAAGAAATGCAAACAGCACCCTTAACCATGCGTCTGGTGAGTGCTTCTACTGGAGGGTGCTCTCCGGCAGCTCTTGGGCGTGTGCGCGAAACGAATGCATAGTCCTCGAAGCATTGTTCACTGCCCGGAAGCCACTCACCTGTGCTGCACATGGCACGGGTTTTACGGCGGTCCCGCCACCAAGCTGCCGAGGCGGGGACCGGAGCGCACCGCGGCCCGGGAAATCTGACGTAAGGACCGACAGACAGCACGGGGGAGAGCCTTGAAACTGCAAGGAAGGAAGCGGTGATACGTGCAACGGCGTGGGTGCGCTTCGGCCTCGTCATCCTGAGAGAGAGGAGCCAGGCACAGAGCACTCCGCGTACGAGTCCGTTTGCAGGAACGACAGACACGTCCACGGACCCACAGTGGCCCACGGGAGTCTGTGGCTGCCCAGAGGGAGGGGGGCGGGAGGGCAGAGGGCGGCCCGTTCCCGTGATGACTGTGCTGCCGCCCCCCAGGCGGGCACGCGCAGAAGAGGGCCTGAATCACACACCTGCAGTGCGTGTGCTCCAGCAAAGCTGGGGGTGCACAACACCCTGAACTCCGCCCGTTGTTCTTTCAGGAGGCCCGAGGAGGAGCCGTCGCGCCATGGTAACGAGAGGGCGCCCGGAGCCCACGGCATGAGTCGGCTGCGCGCCGCCACCAGGCCGGGGCTGCTCGTGGGCGTGGCCGCCTGTGTCTCCGCTCTCCTGTACTTCAGGAGTGCGGCTCCGGGGGGACCGGGCGCGGAGCCCCCCACCCCAGCAGTCTCGGAGTGTGGCTTTTATCCCGACGAACTGTGCTCAGCTTTGCTCGAGGGCAGAGGGGCAGCCTCGCAGGTCGCACGGTTCTGCAAAGCCCCCCTGGGACCGGGAGTGCCCGCTTGCCTGCAGGCCCCGGGAAACTGCTCCCGGATCTCCCGGGCGCTGCGCTTCGTGTCCAGGCCCCTGTCTGCCGAGGAGGGCAGCTTCCCTCTGGCGTACGTGGTGGCCGCCCACGAGGAGCTGGTCCCGCTCGTGCGGCTACTCAGGGCTGTCTACGCGCCGCAGAACGTCTACTGCGTCCACGTGGACGGGCGCGCCCCGGAGGAGCACAGGGCTGCCGTGCGGACCCTGGCGAGCTGTTTCGACAATGTCTTCATTACTTCCCCGAGGACGGAGCCGGGGGCTCAGCCCGGCCTCACGAGGCTCCAGGCAGACCTGAGCTGCATGGAGGGCCTGGTCCACTCCGGAGTTCAGTGGCACTACGTCATCAACCTCTGCGGACGGGACTTCCCCATCAAAACCAACAGAGAAATCGTGCGCTACATCAGAAGCAAAGGGAATGGCAAAAACATCACTCCTGGGGTAATCCAAGTGGCAAAGACTAAGTCCAGGACGAGCCAGAGTCAGCCGGAACCCACGCCCAAAGGGAGGGTCTATGTACCTCCAAATGAAGGGTTCCAAGAGGAACCACCCCACAACCTAACAGTCTACTTCGGAAGTGCTCACTACATGCTAACGAGGGCGTTTGTCCAGTTTGTGCTGACTGACTCCCGTGCAAAAGACATGCTCCGCTGGTCCAGGGCCCTGCAGAGCCCAGAGCGCCACTACTGGGTGACTCTGAACCGCCTGCAAGGTAAGCACCACCCAGCAGCACGCGGTGTGCTCGGCTCGGGGCGGGGGGGGGGTGGCAGGGGGAGCTCATTTTTAACTAAAGAGTCTCTCTGTTTTGGCTATTTCACGTGGCTCGGTCCACAGCTCCCCGTTCTCCAAGAACAGGTGGGGAGCAGAGGAGTCTCTGATTGCAGGGGTCTGAGGTTGACCGAGGGGGCGCCCTGTCCCCAAACCTGCTGCTTTGCTCCCCACCTAGAAAGAGGGGTTTCACACAGCACAGAGCCCTCTGAGCAGCCTCTGCGCGAATCCCGGGAGAGCTGTTCCCGTCCTCGCTCACACAGTGAGCACCACTGAGTCCTGGCAAGCACCGGCACCGTGCTAGGGCCTCCTTCAGAACGAAAACTACGAAAGGGAGTCATTCCCAGTGGCAAATGTGATCTATGAGGTAGGTTCTGAGAGGCGGGGGGAGCTGATGCCCCCTCAAGCAGCCTTATTTCCTCCTTGTGGACGGCTGCTGGGCTCCCGGGGGCTGGGGGTGTCCAGCTGGAACGGCTGAACTCATCAGCCCGGACGACAGAACGATGACCCCAGCAGCAATGGGCTGGGGCAGTTCTACAATCTCTCCTGCCCACTTGAACCCCCTTTCCAGCCGCCGCAGAGGGCTGGCAGAGCAAACAGAGCCCAAAGAGGCCCCACACAGCCGTGGGGGCCACGCTGTGAACCTGGGTCAGGGTCCAGGGATGCAGAGGGGGACGAAAACGAAACCCAGGCAGGAAGACGGAGACGTGAGGGGTGGTCGCCCAAGGCCACCGCCAGGGCAGTGCCTGCCCCCAGCCCCCAAGAGCAGCCTGCTACCCGATGACAACTGCGCACTGCGAGCGGGCTGGACTTGGCGGCCACGGTCCGCTGGCGGCTGCGTCCAGAGGAAGTGGAGCAGGCGGCCCTGAAGAAGAACCCGTCCGACAGGAGCGGATGGCAGGTTCCCCGTGTCTCTTTCTCTTCCCCGCAGACGCCCCGGGCGCCACCCCAGGCGCAGGCTGGGAGGGCCGCGTTCGAGCCACGAAACGGAGGGGCGAGGAGGGAGACGCGTGCGATGGATGTAAAGGTAAACGCGGAGACAGATCCGGGAGGAGGAGTCTTCTGGTTCCACAAAAGCGAGACAGCCACCGCCTCGCTCACGTGTACAGAGATCCGGGGTTAGTGGTGACCCAACCGGCCTGGAGGCAGATCTTCAAACCTTTCTATTTCAGTGTAAGATTCACACAGCAAAGTGCAGACACTGTAAGTACTTGGGGCCGATACAAGTTCCCAGCATGAACATGCAACGGGGCTGCCGCTTTCCGCAGTCTTCCGGCAGAAACACACGAGCTGCCGGCTTTCCCACTGGCCCCCAGGCTCAGACCCGAACGTCCGTCAGCGGCCAGCTCTGTGCTCCCCGGGCCTCCCCAGCGGAACAGGACAGGGAGAGGAACGCAGGCACTGCTCCCCACCAGGGCCCCCCACCACCTCCGAGCTCCCCTTGGGCTCCCGCCCGTCTGCAGGAACTGCAGGACCTGCAGGAACGAGGTGTTCCTGAGCGCAGTCCGGCCGCTCCCTCGCTGTGTCAGTTGCGACAACGCAGGGTGGAATCGGGCAGGTACCCGAGTCCTTACGGAAGTCGCTACGCTGGGCGCCTCACCCCTGATCTGAGTGCTTGCTCCATAAGAAACTGGGGACATTTTTTTATTACAGGCTTAGTTGTTGGAAAGGTTGACTTTCCAACCTACTGTAAGTGGCTTATGTGTTTTGAGAAGGTTTTCAGTGACATCTCGCAGCCACGGATTCACGTGGCTCGTTCAACCCCTGGGCAGCCTCGGCCACGCCCTCTAACGGGCGAAGGCGGCCCTCACCGGCCGCGTCTGAAGGGCTGCCGTGATTCCTGTTCTTAAAGAGGCAGCCGTGACCCAGCTGGGGGACAGTCGCGGCAACAGCGCACTCACGGCAGGCTCCCCACGGTCCGGTTCCAGCCCTTCACCAGTGAGCACTTCTGCTCGGCACAGGGAAGGTTTTCTGACGATTTCGGTCTCAGTGGCTGTTTCTGTGCATGCAGTCCCGCCCCTTTTTAAGTAACACTTCCTCGGGGTAGGTGTTCAGGCACGGGTGCCTGGGGGCAGGGGGCAGAGCAGGGCAGAGCCGAGCAGAGGAAAGAGCAGGGTCCCCAGAAAGGACAGAGCATCCCCCCCCCCCACAAGCTGAGAGCTCACTCCTCCGCACCCTGGAGGTGACGGTAGAGACCCCCCGCAGCGTCGGGGGGGGGTTGGGGGAGGGCTGAGAGGAGGAGGAAGAGCCGAGCGCAGTGACGGGCACATGAGTTCGCCCCTGAGTTCACCTGGAAGGACTCCGGTCAGCTCTGGGTTCCGTTCACGTCAGACACGCCGCACTCTGCGGAACCGGTCAAGGGCTGAAGCAGTTGAAAACTCTGAAAACCCACTCGGTTCTTACGAGCATGCCCACAACCAAGAAAAACACCGCACAGTTCCCGGGGCTCACAAGGGCAGCGATCAGAACTCAGGTTTCCCAGGCGACCAAGTGCTGCACCTCCCTCGTGCTCACGACCAGCTCAAGTCCCAGGGTGTCCACCTAGAGGAGCCACCGAACATTTCAGCGATCACCGGCAAAAAGAACGGAAACTCCCCTTCCATCGTGAGTTCAAAACTAGACAAAGGCGGCCTATCAACGTCATCACGGAGGCCCTGTTTACTTTGAACTCCTGTGAAGCAGAGGGGCTCACGGACGACCTTAGGAGCAAGTCACTTGTGTGTGTGAATGTAAACTGACACGGGCCCGGCCTGGTGTGGCTCAGTGGCCTGGGCGCCGTCCTGCAGACCGAAAGGTCGCAGGTTTGATTCCCGGTTAGGGCACATGCCTGGGTTGAGGGTTTGGTCCTCAGTTGGGGGTGTGCGAGAAGCAACCAATCAATGTTTCTCTCCCTCTATTCCCCTCTCTCTAATAAGTAAGATCTTTAAAATAAAAAGTAAAAAGAAGTGAACTGACGCGGGAACAAAGGCAGCTAAGTTTCTGGGTCTCCCCCTGCAGGCCGCTCCGACCCGGACAGCTGTGTCTACGGGCCAGCAGACCTGCCCCGGCTGGTGTGGTCGCCTTCCTTGTTTGCCAGCAGATTCGAGTCCTCCACGGAGCCTCTCGCGGTGGCGTGCCTGGAGAGGTGGCAGCGGCAGCGCGTCCTGCAGCAGGCAGAGGTTCCCGTGGAACCGCACTGGCGTTTCCCTCGGCAGAGTGATTTCCGTGGGAACTGAGCCACCGGGCTGCGAGTTACGAGGAGTGTGTGCTTTCTTGCTGGCATCACCCTGTTTCCTTGACTTGAAATACGAGAACATTCAGCCAGCGAAGAGAGATGGGGAAATGATCCTTTGATACAAGTGAGCTCTGGACAAGACTGCTATTAATTATTGGCCGCTTTCATGGCTTTGAGAAAGGGATCACGAGACTGCATCTTGAAGCCGATGCATTAATGGGGATCTCGGGGTAATTTCTCTAGCTTTCGAGGTACAGAAACGTCTCACTAGCATGCACGGTCTCCTGTTCAGTTTTTCCTTAGATTCTCCCCACCTGTACAAGCCTAAGGCGCCTGTGCTGGGTGCTGGATGCTGAGGCCCAACATTCCCAGAGCCCACGAATGCGGCAGAAGCTACAACACCCGGAGGCCAGAGTCTGAAAAGCGAATCTGCGGACCACTGCCGAAGACACACCCCCTCCCTAACTGATTTTCTCACTTTTTCAATCCACCCCCCAGCCCCCATGAAGGGAACTCACAAACAAACAAACCACCCAGTAAGGGTGTAAATTTTTGTTTTACTTCTGACTTTAAAATACCCGTACACCCCACTCACCCATCACAAAGACCCGATAAACGAAGCCAGAGAGCTAGCAAGTCAAATGCTACCAAGTTCGCCCCTGTACTCTGGACCAGCGCGTCTCAGAATTTACTGTGCACGCAGATCCCGGGTGTCTCGTTAAAACACAGGCTCTGATTCTGCAGGTCTGGGGAGGGGCCTGGGAGTCTGCATTTCTTCAAAAGAGAAAACAAAACCTCCCAGCTGACGCCGACACTCAGGACCAAGGGCCTCTGTCTGAGTGACCAGCGCACCCGTTCCTGTGCGACCTGTAATCCCTCCAGCGCGCTGTGACGTATTACAAGGAGGAAGGGACACAGTGGGGATACGATTAATTTCCTGGCCGGTGATTTGTTTACAGTGCAAACAAAACCACCTAGCAACTGCGTCTCTTGGGACCTGTCTACTGGCGCCAGCGTGCACACCCTGGGCTTCGGAGCCCAGAGCCAGGCTACTTCGAAAAGCAAATGGAGGTGGGACTGCAGAGTGAAACGCAGAAAAAACCCACACCCTGAATGCCACCGAGGTTCCTGCCGGCTTCTCTCAACTTCAGACGCCACCTAGAAAGTGAAACGCCTGCTCCGGACTGTGACCACGTCTTCCCAAAGCATCGCAGACACTGTCCTTCTTCCTTCAGGCAGCAAGGGCTGGGCTTCACCTCCTCTTCATGGGCTCAGCCAGACTGCATTTCCCAGGCTCCCTTGCAGTTAGGTATGGCCACATGACTGAGTTCTGGCCAGTGGCATGTGAGCACCACATCCAGATCCAGGCCCAGCCCATTAAACCCCCCTAAGCTAAATGCTCCCTTCTGAGTCCCCATCAGCTGACAGAATGGAGAAGACTCCAGAAACCAGAGGAGGTCCGACCCACCTCTGAGCCTGAGTCCTTGCGTTTCCCTGGGAAGAAAGCGGGCCGGCTGGAAGCTTCCACTATGTCACCCAGTGTCACCGCAGTGCTCGGACCCTGAGGGCGGTGCTTAGTACGAAAGGACTCGAGAGAGTTTGAATTAGAAGTACGAGGTTGACTCCTGATAACAGTATATAAATTTGTCACTTGATTCTTCGCTTCAAAGTGTTGTTATTTGGGTTTGGGCCTAAAAAAAAAAAGTGTGCAGGGATTTAATTCCTTAGTTCTGCATATTTGAACCTGAAGCCCAGAAAGGAGAGGTGGCAGTCCCGGGCCAGCTCCGGTGCGCGAGCCGCAGCCGACCCGCACGGGGCCCTCCACCCTGGTTTCGTGAACGAATGGATGAGAGACCCCACCCCCGAGGGCCAGCGAGTGCCCCCGCCCAACGATCTCCTGGGTTGTACTGTTTCTGGCTGCGCTGTGTCCCCCAAGTGCTGAAACCCTAGCCCTAGTACGTCAGAGTGTGACCTCGCTGTAGATGTCCTTAAGGGAGGGGTGGTCCCTCGGGTGGGCTCTACTCCAGGGTGACAGGCGTCCTGAGAAGCAGGGAATGTGGATACAGAGGCGGACTGCACAGGAGAAAGGCCACGTGAGGGGACGCGGGCCCGGAGGGCCATCTGCAAAGCAGCAGACCGGTCTGGACGGCTCTCCCCCTCCCAGCCCTGGGCGGGAGTGGGCTCTGCCGGGGACCTCGGCCTTCGGCCTCCAGGGCTTGGGGACGGCACATTCCTATTGAGCCTCCCGGTCGGGGCACCTTGTGGCGGCGGCTGTGGCAAGCTAACAAGTACTCGATGTCCCCAAGCAGAGGCAGTAGTTATGTAGGTTATATGAGGGGAAACGTGCTTATTACCTTGCTCTTTTGGCAACAGATATTATTTATTTTTTAAAAAGATTTTATTTATTTTTAGAAAGAGGGGAAGAGAGGAAGAGAAACATCTATGTGTGGTTGCCTCTCCTGCGCCCCCTACTGGGGACCCGGCCCGCAACCTAGGCACGTGCCCTGACTGGGAGTCAAACTGGCAACCCTTTGGTTCCCAGGCCAGCGCTCAATCCACTGAGCCACACCAGCCAGGGCCACAGATGTGTTTTTAAGAACACTTCCTCCTCCCGGACACCTTCTCGAACGGCGGCCAGCGCCCCTCCTCGCCTGCAGGAGGGCCCGGCCTCTCCCCTCCCTGCGCACCCCTGACGCAGGCACTTCCCCTTTCCTCCGCTTCCTTCCCTTCCCTTGAAGCGCTCAAGGCGCACACGCGCAGGTTGGCTGCAGTTCAGCGAAGTTTCCCAAGCACCTGCACAACGATTTCAGAGTTCCCTGGTAGTCCTGCATTTTCACAAAATAAAGCCAACTTCTCTGTAAAGCTGTTAGGCGTGTCATGCAACGTGCTTGCTGATGTGACGTGTGAGGTCAGCCAGTGCAAAGGAACATCGCCACTAGTGTCAGCAATAAAAACATAACTAAATAAATAAAATTAAAAAAAAATAACAAACTTTGCTTCCATCAAAAAAAAAAAAAAAAAAAGGAAAAAAAAAAGAACGTTGCCCACTGATCCAAGAGATAGTCACCATTACGGGGGGTAGAGCAAAATATGTTTGACTGCTTCAGACCAGAGCCCCCCAAACCGGCAGCCCATTAGAATTAACCTGGGAACTTTCACATAAAAGGAGAAATCTGCGGGGCGTCCACACCCACCCCAACAATTTGGGTTCAGGGTCTGAGTCGGGGAATGGGAGCTTAGCAAACCACTAGGGCAATTCAGATGGGAGCCCGGTTTGGGGGCTCCTGACTTAGGACGTCTGGCTCCTGCAACAATCTCAGCTTCCCTTCCCGCCTCTCCCGTTCACGCCCTTTCAGGTGTGTAGCTGCAACAGCCCCTCACACACGCCTGGCTGCCGCACACACGGCCGAACCCAGAGGGGATGCGCGGTGCCCTTCCTACGGACAGAACCTCACGCCGGCCGCCAGCCAGCCGCACTCCCGCTTCCCCACGGCACCCCCACACGGGCTCCTTTTCCACGCCCGCCCTCCAGCTCCTGCATGGAAGGCTCACTCCCTCCGAGTGCCCACTGGGACCTGCTCCCCAGTCCGGCACGGGGAGTCCCCACCACCCACCCGGATCACACCTCGGCCCGTCTCCCCCGTCTCCCCGTCTCCCCCGCTCCGTGCCGCAGTCCTGAGCCCGGGCCCCCATCTTGGGCCGCCTGGGCCTCTTCCTCCCCCAAGTTCGGCTGCTCCTCCCCCCCTCTTCTCAACACCCCCCATCTCTTCCCCCATTCCCTCCCCCCACTGCGCACCTACCATCATTCACAACAGCACCCCACAAATGGCAGGTCAACTCTGCCAAAAGTACTGTCGGACCAGAACATTTTTCCTTCAATCTACCCATTGTTTCTACTTAAATTTACTTTATTTATTTCTAAGATGTTATTTATTTCTAGAAACAGGTAAGGGAGGGAGAAAGAGAGGAAGAGAAACATCAATCAGTTGCCTCTCACACGCCCCCAACCAGGGACGAAACCCACAACGCAGGCACGGGCCCTGACAGGGAATCGAACAGGCCACGCTTCTGTTCTCGGAACGACACTCAGCCCCCTGAGCCACACCAGTCAGGGCTCTCCTTAAATTTACTTTAAAAGTCAACTTTGTAGCCCTACCCTAAATTTAAAAAGCAGTACCCCTTGCAATAGATATAAAATAAGCATAAACACAAAGACGATACAAAACAGTCTCGCCAGGCCCTGCCTGCCAGGCTCTGTGCGTGAGGTCCACCCTCGCAGGGGCTCGGGAGTGGGAGAGGTGTTCGGGCCCCCAGGGCCAAACGGATGCTGTCCCCAAGGCACGCCGACGCTGTGCAGGAGCGCCCACCCGGGAGCCACCGCGCCCCGATGTGCTGTCCTGTCTGTGGGCCGCCCGCTCGGCCCTCCTCCCCCAGCTGGTGTGTCCCGTCCCCACCGCCGGGAAGGCCTGGCTGAGGGGGAACGGCTACCTTCAAGGCCTAGAACGAACACCTGCCCCTTCACAAAGCCATTCCTCACCCCCACGGTCAACGGAAGCTCTCTGGCCCCTGCACGCCAATGACACCTTTACCGTCCACTGGGTGCCTGGCCCTGACAACACGGCGGAGCATGATTGTCCAGGTGACTTATGTCCCTGCAGGAGGGCAGTCTGCTGAGCGCAGGGCCGGTGCCCCACGCCCTGCTGCCCTGGGGCACCCACGCCACGTCTTTAGTGCAGGAGACGCCGTCGGTCCGGGTGCGTGAAGGGCACGACCCCACTCCTGAGGGCACCCTTCCCGCCTTTCCTCTGGAAAGCTTCACGGACAGACCCCAAATTCTATGATGGCTTTACTCATCATCGCCCCAGACCGACTTCTTCCCTACCAATTAATCACCTTTCGCCATCTCTGCACCCCCAACAGACGGAACCACCCAGGGCGCCCCCTCCACGCCTGGCCTCTTCTGTAGAGGGGCCGTTCAAAATAAGCGGCCACCTGGTCCAG